CGCGACAGTGAGAGGCCCGCGTACCGCAAAAAAAAAAAAAAGTCGTGAACAATTTTAAGACTTGATACATTTTGTAAACGTGGCTGATGCTTACTTTTATTGAGAAATCCCCGCTTGGAGGAAAATGCAAAGGTTATCAGTTTCTCTTCCACTTCTGCCCAGTTTTTGGGTGATGCTTCAGTTCAGAAGCTTTTGTAGGTTTGAGTTCTTCCGTGATGAAAGCCCTTTCATTAGCATCGACACCAGCCTAGCCTCGCCTCTGCTCGTGGCATTAGAGTCCCCATGAGCCAGCACCTGCTTGCCTCTCCAGCTTGCCCACCCTGAGGTCGCACTTCAGCCAAGGAAACCACTTACAAACCCCCAAGCACACCAGGCTCCCCCAAACCCCGTACCTTTGCCCCGCCATTCCCTCTCTCTGCAATCTCTTCTCTCCTTTGCCATGTGGCTAATTCCTACTCATTCTTCAAGCTCAGAATAGGCATGATTCCCCTGGAAGGGCTGGAGTGGAGGCCTCCTCTGCACCCACCACCCCTCTGTCCCAGCCCTTCCCACACTGGAGTGCAAAGGTCTGGTTATGACTCAGTCTCCCCCACTGGCCTGAGACCTCCTTAAGGACAAAAACTATTTCTTTTAGCTGCACGTATTCTTTCCTTAAGCAAATATTTATTGTAATTCCTGCTACAGAAAATGGCACAGAATAAACAATGTGTAGCTCTGCTGAGTAGTCACCACTGGTGGGCGTGGGCAAAGCGCTTTATATATGTACCCCGTGGGGTTCTCCCACAGCCCCGTGAGGCAGGGACAGTTATCCCCAATTTATAGATGAGGAAACTGAGGCTTGGAGAGGTTAAGTCATGTGGCTAGCAAATGGGCAAGAATCGGAAGCTGCATCTGTCTGACTCTGGACATTTTGTTGTTATACAACACTGATCCAAGGACGTGAGCCATGCTGAGCATGAAGTCTCTTTAGGTCACTGCTGTCACCCTGGAAGGAATGGGCGGTCTCTGGCATACCCTTGCTGTTTGATTTCTGTTGAATTTTTAATGAGATAGTTCATTTTCTTTCAAGGTATTTAAACGGTGAATTTTGTACAGAGTTCGTCACTGTTCGTATCTGTCGACTGTTTGCTCCTCTTGGTAATCCTGGGAGAGGCAGGGTATTGTTTTTTTTTCTTTTAAGTGTATGACTTTTATTAAATTCTTAAAAGTTATGTATCATAAAATTCACTGTTTGGGGAGGGGATGGTTCTTTAGACTTTCACACTCACACTTCCTGCATGAAGAAAGGGAATCCTGGAGAGCTAGGTCCTCAGGTTCTTTCTAAATTGCATCTGATTATGGGGTGTCAGGGATTCTACAGGGTGAACATGTTTAAAAACGTGACAAAAGTGTGTTTGCTGGAGCGAATGCTGGACAGGAAGTTAGGAAACCTTGGGTCTAACCTCCATGCCTACTGGTTGTGTGAATTTGAGAGTTCAGCTCATCTCGAGCCCCATTTCCATCTGAGGTTGACTAGACCTCACATTCCACAAGAACCACTCAGCACAACCAGGCGTGGAGAGCGTCACTGTCATAAAGCACATTTCCTAAGGTGTCTTCTGAGGAGGAGTCCCTTTGTCAAATGTCTCACAAAATGAAAGGGTCTAAATTTGGAAAAGATCAAACTCAGTTCCCCTCTTGAATATTCACATTACACATCAGCAGAGTAAAGGATCTGGGAATTCCTGACATAAAAACGATCTTTGCTTCTGTTTAACCCAGAATTTTCTAAACTCACTACACCTGGGAATCTCCTTTGGGCTCAGCCTCTAACAAAACCCCTCTGGGCTAGAGTTCCAAAGAACACGGTTTTGAAAGTGCCAGTTAAAAGGCAAACACAGTACTAACTTTAAGGAAGAAAAAAAAAAAAGTCACATCAGCTCTTGCCTTCCGGTGGGCTTATTTTTTAGAAACATGCTGGCCCCTGAGAACAGAAAGAGCCGGGACCCTGGCGGTAGCTGCCCACAGTATCTGCTGGTAGTTGGTAGGGAGGGGGCGTGGATTTGAACATCTGATTCTGGGAAGGGCAGAGCAGGGTGGGGCTGATCTTCTGGTGTGCAGCGCATTAAATACCACCTTTCAGGACTAGCCTGAAAAGCCCTCTATTAAATGTGACAAGGCAGAAGGCTGCCTGTGGGAGGCCATGTTCCAGAAGCCAAGCACCAGCTGCTGATGACTCACATTTTCCTGCTTTCTGGTGCCCGCGGAAACCTGCACACCAGCGTGTCTCTGCTTCTGGATATGCAGGGCCCATGCCTCTTTC